TACAAAAACAAATGTGTGTGTGTGTGTGTGTGTGTGTGTGTGTGTGTGTGTAAACATAACTATAGTATAAGTATATAGTAAACTAAACTGTAACTATCTTCAAAACTAAGCTGAATATGACAAATGCTTTCTTTAGGGACATTCAGGTAAGTTTTCTTTTAGTCGTAGCTTCATAAAAAATTATTTACATAAGTCTACAGTCTCATCTAGCTAGCTAAACCTGTATGAATATGTGTGAAAATGATTCAGAAATAATAATAATTAATGTAATGTAAAAAATAATGTAAGTTTTAATTTAGAGATGAGGTAGGGCTCGTTGTCGCCTGCATTCATTATAATTAGCTTAATATAAAAACAACAGAATTATATTATATGTTCTCACGTTGATGAAATAAACATGTGTGTTAGTATTTGTACCGAGACTTCGTCCAGGTTAGATGAGACTATGGCGGTCAGAGTAAGCTCTTCCTCAGTCTCTGCCCTCGGGAGAATGTCTGGAGAAAGATCACACACAAACACCCAAACATTTTTGTGCAACAGAACTTTTTGCTGTAGAACAAGACTTGATTTTATTAACGTATTTTCAGAAATAGAAGTCACATTTTTTAAAATCTGAAACGTGCTGCAACTTATATTGCAATGTGACATATAATGGAATTAGCGTCAACCATGCAAAGCTCACACAAATAGGCATGCACACACAGCATATAATTTCTAGTATTAAAATTTAACATTACAATCTATTGATCATCAAAATCTTTTTTTCCCAGCCTCTCAGACATAGTTACATTAGCAGTAAAGATACACTGATTGGAAAACATTACTGCATTTAGATAAAATATTACGTTAAATGGAAGGAGCTGTTTAAAAGCCCAAAAGCTCGCTTAATTTAAAAACAGATCAGGTACTGGTCTGGTATTCAATTTGGCAATTGGCATAAATCTGGGCTTTGCAAGAAGCTTTTAACTGTTAACATCTATTAACATATACAGAGTGCATTTGTTTTCTAAACTCTTTGGGTCATACCTTGGGTTTTGGTAGCCTCGCGAATAACCTTTTGCAGCATTTTCATCTCTGTGTCGACCTCATCATAGTTGACCTCTCGGGCGTCCACTTTAGGTGCAGTGAAGAAGGAGGGGTCAGTGCCCATGTAAGAGCACTGGAGATGCCCGTCAGAGCTCAGAGTCACCACCAACCCCCTCAGTTCCCTGAAAACACAGAACACATTTCAATGCATGCAATGCAAATTTTTTTTTTTTTTTTTCCAAAATCAAGATATTAGCTTAATTTATAGTACTCTATAAAGGAAAGTATATATTTTAGATGCTGATCACTAGTTTTTCCCCTATTTAATTTATTTTTATTTACCCCCGTGATCCTGTGCTTTGGTAAATTATGACCTCATGCATGTCAGATGTTAATTCGCATGTCAGAAACATGCAGTTTAAAATGATTTTAAATATTAAATACAATGTGTCACCTAGCAGCAACAAATTGTTTGACAAATTGTTTTCAATTCCCTTATACTGAACACACAAAAAAAAGTAAAACTTAAGGGAGAAAAAAGAAAAAAAAGTTTTCTTTGCATTCTAAATAGATTTTGTGAATCACTCCATAGTTACTCCAATTATGGGAGTAACCTCAGTTAAACTGTACACATTCAGATATTGCAAACAAACTTAAAGGTTTGATCTATGAATGCAATATAAGAATATAGACTGGATCCAATAAGGTGACATCATTCTCCTCACCCCTCAACCATCAAATTGCAAATGAAAACTTAAAGGGGTCATATGATGCGAAGTTTTCCTTTCTCTTTGGAGTGTTACAAGCTGTTCGTGAATAGATAACATCCCTAAAGTTGCCCAAAGGGATATTCTTTATAAAAGTTAAGACTCGTCCACACCCTCCTAAAACGCCTCGTTTAAACACGCCCCCACATGTCTACGTCACGATGTGGAAAGATTTGCATAACACCGCCAAAATGTTCACACAAAGAAAGAAGGCGTAACTTTATTGTTGCTGCCGCCACCGCCATGTCGTCTCGTCACACGGCATCACAGTATAGTAGGGGCGTAACATTTCCGTCACACGCTAAAAGTATTAACAAATAGCTTTCAGCAGTCCATGAATAACCCCAAAGTCTTTTTACGGATGTGTTAATTATTACTGTAGTAATATATGCAAGTCTATATTACATTTACATTTATAGCATATATATATATATATATATACTCTGGGTTCTTGTCATATTTTATTACCATTTTCTAAACTGTGTCAGAACAAATTCATCTTAATAATGTCAGATAACTTTGATAGAAATGTCTGTAATGGATTACAATCAATCAAATATTATTCAGATGTTAAATTTATGTACACAATTAGATAATACCAATTTAGGTCAATTAATTACCAAGCAATGCTTCATTTTGTTCAGTCTGTGGTGTAAAAAGGCCACATTAGCAATTAAAGAAAAAAACACTTAAGCAAAACATGGTCAAGTCAAAGTGTCTGATTAATTTTTGGTCCCAATTTTTTATCAATTTTACTGGTAGTACACTGTATGAAGTATTTTTGGGTATAATATGTCATGGTTTACTTTATTTTGCTATCCTCACTTAGATAAATTAACTAGTGTCCTGCACCCACTAGTAAAAAAAATATCAAAGATTATATCTGGTGTCTGAATAATTTTGGGTTTGACTGTATGTATATATATATATATATATATTAGGGATGCACCGATACCGATACTGGTATCAGGCCCGATACTGGTCTTCTGTACTCGTACTCGTACTCGCTAAAATGCCCCGATAGCAAACGCCGATACCACACAGCATGTGATAAGCGCCATATTCAAACAAAGAAACACCGACAGCAGAAAGGAGTTAAGGATGTCTACTACGAAGTATATGTATGCAATGAATATAATATTAAACATTCAGTATTAACGTCTGTATAGCTGATGTGCGCGAGCTGATAAGCAAAGCGCGCTGAGTGGATTGAGCGCGCGGCGGCGCAGATGCGCGAGCTTGTCGAGTGAATATATCTTTCTCACAGACATCACTGGAAAGTTTGTAGTTCGGGTACTGGAAAAAGTGGTATCGGTGCATCCCTAATATATATGTAATAAAAAGAAAACAAGTAGGTAGAATAGAGAAAGAACAGAGAAAGCTAGTTTTAGAGGTCTTTTTTAAAGAAAACAAGCAGTTAGAAAACAAATAGATTTAGAACAGAGAGTGCTAGAGTTAGACGGTCAAATAAAGATGGAAGATATGTGTTTTTAGCCATTTCTTGAAGATGGCTAAGGACTCTCGAATTGAGTTCTATATTATGTAAAGGCCTGTTCACAAAAGGACAGTAACTATAAAGACAACGATAAAGATATAGTTCTAACAATCATTCTCAATATTAAAGAATAGCAAAGTCCACACCGCCACTATAATGATATAAAGGCGCAGAGAAACGATTTTGTTGGAATCACTTTCAGAACTATTTTTTTCCAGCTGATGAATGCTAAAAACACTGACACCCACTCAAAATCAATCCTGCTATAACAAGCTCGAGAATTTAAAGCGGCAGACGAGTGTGCACTTAGAATGAGCAGATGATATTGCCTGCTGTAGTGGACGCTTATATAGTTATCGAGCCTTAACATGTTGCATGAATGAAAATGTTCCCCTCATTATTTGGAAGACTGTTGGATATTTCAAAGTGCTTTTAATAATTTTGACAAATAGGCTAACACATTGTATTTCCATGCTTTCCCATAAAAACTGCTGATAGGGGAAAAGGAGAAAATTATGTTTTAAAGCGTTCATGTGAAAACAAGCCGGGAAAAAGACATGATTGAGGATTTGTGAAGAAAATGAGAGATTCTCACTGCATTCCAGTAATTTATTCAAGGCATATGTTCATTAAATCGGGAGAGAAAACCACATGAATACAGGATCTGTTATGTTTTCCCTACTGTTTTACAGCAAAATGCAGACTGCAGACTGAAAGATATTCTTGTGAATATCGAGTTTATGTCACATTAAAATACCAGGCATTACAATATTTTCCTGACAGATAAAAATAGAGCCTGACAGTAAATGTATGGCTTATTGAGTCAAACTGATGGATAAGGAATATTTGTAGAACTACCATTTATTTGAAATGATTTGTTTCAGTCATTTTGAGTGTTCCCCAAACTGCCAACCATAATTTAAAGCAGACTTGTTTGGGAAAAGGTGCATACTGGCATGCATCTAATTTGGATTGCTTCTACTGACAGATGAATTTGCACCAAAATACCATTTGTTTGATTGGACACATGGGATTTAACTCAAAGGTTCAACACTAAAAGATGGAAAGGGATTTCTCCTGCCTTGATAAGCCCATTTGTTAGGCTATTCTAACTATGTATGGTTGCATGGTTAGTTGCATTTTATTATTTATCTTTAATATAGTAAAGTTTGAAAAAGTGAAGGTGTGAGTGGTTATGTGTGTGTGTGTGTGCTAGAGATGTGAACAGAGACAAGCACAGCAGCTCATTTAGGTGGTGCTGACAGATGCTCTTTTAATGTGAGGCCAGTAGAAGAGAGACAGGACGGATAATGGTAGAGTGAGTGACCCGTGCAGGATGGCCAGAGAGACCAGTGCAGTTAAACACTCTCTACAGACGTATCTGTTACCTCTGCATATGAGAACCACTCTAAGCTAACAGTCCCACAAACACAGAATACTTCAAAGAGACATAGCGCACCGCACACACAACCTTGAGAATGATAGCATATACCACACACAACATCTTACATTCAGTCTAACTTCAGATAGACTGGACCGACGGGGTTGTCAGGTGTTTCTATGAAGTATGGAGGTTAAGGAGATTAAGGACAGCCAGGAAAGATTCATTTGGGCAGCGCTCACTTACGGGAAGTTAGCAATGCGTACAGCCACAGGCACACAGGACAGCTGGGCCGCCCACTTCAGCGTCACATCCTGGTACACCAGCAGCATGTTGTTATGGTTACACATCAGGATGTTGGTGGAACCCTCAGAAACTGAAGACAAAGCCAGAGAGAAGACAGCTGAGTATGAAGGAGGAAGTGTGTGTTGAGATGGTCTGTGGTCTCTGGGCCTCACATGGAGAGTCAATGCAGCGGTTAAATGATAGACTGCATCCACTTCCAAACCACCAGAAGACATCCATCTCTCACCTTCCTATAAACCAACACCACTCTCACCAACACACACACACACATACACATCTCCGTTCTGTGGCCAAACACCCAAAATCATCTCTCTCTCTCTACGCAGCAGACAAAGACAACAGTAATTTAACTCATGAGATTGTCTACATGATTGTGTGTGTGTGTGTGTGTGTGTATTTATGTTTCAAACAACTTTGACAGATAATGCATGGAAATGCATATGGAAACATTTCTTAATTGGTATTTTTGTTTTTTTGTTCCAGTAAAAATATCTAGAAATCCTTTCCTATGGACAGTTCAGCCAAAAATGAAAGTTCACTCATCATTTACTCACCCTCATATCATTCCAAACCAATTTAATTCATCCTCGAAAAACAAATGAAGATTTTTTTTAATGTAACCTGAGAGATTTCTGTCTTTCCCGGATCCATGTCTCTGCAGAAGACTTGGATTAAGCTGCCCGATTCATTTGGATTACTTTTTGAAGCATCACAGTTTTGGTGGAATTAACTTTTAATGGAGAGAAAGCAATCTCTCAGGTTTTGTCCAAATTGGTTCTTGATGGGAAAGAACCAATGAAGTTTGTTCTTATGTGTCAAGCAAGTACGGCTGAACTTCTGTTTACCATTTTTGATGTCCGTATTTGACTTACTGTATGCTGATTAGAGTTGCACAATTAAGAGTTAAAAGATTGCAATCTCGATTCAAACACCCATGCGATCTTATCCCTAAATGACAAAGATTCAGCTATGTCTATTATGCCTGTTTCCAATCGCAATGGAGCATGTATTTTGGAGCTTGTATTTTGTCGTTGCTCATATTAATGAATGAAAGTGACAGTGAACACTGTCATTCATTGATATGGACAACTGACTAAACTGACTGTTTAAAAAAAAAAAAAAAAAGCATTTATCACTGAATCATTAATTCAAGAGATTCATTCACAAACGTGGGTTCAGCCAATAACAAAACAAGTCTTCTGACTCCTTCATTTATTGTTTGTTGTTTTTTTCTTCAGAATCATGGGATAAAAGCCTAAATTAAATCTGTTTATCATATAAAGTGCTTTGATCTCTTCTTTCACATCATTCATATGGATATCTTTTATGATGTCTTCATGTACTTTTTGAAGCTTAAAAATGTTGGTCACATGGACTTTCAATGGAGAAATAGAAATTGTTCATGTTTAAAAAAAATATATTAATTTGCATTTTGAAAATGAAAAATAAGTCTTTGGAATGACATAAGGTAAATAAATGATACATTTATGATAAATGGTAAATAAATGAATTTTTGATGACAAGGACAAATTTTCTTGACAAGCACAGCTGTGTAAGATATTAAAGGGGTCATATGATGTGATTTCAATTTTTCCTTTCTCTTTGGAGTGTTACAAGCTCTTGGTGCATAAAGAAGATCTGTAAAGTTGCAAAGACTAAAGTCTCAAATCCAAAGAGATATTCTTTATAAAAGTTAAGATTCAGCCACGCCTACCTAAAACGGCTCGTTCTAACACGCCCCAACATACCTACGTCGCTCTGTGGGAAGATTTGCATAACGCAGCCCAAATGTTAACGCAAAGAAAGAAGGCGTAACTTTAATTCTCGCTGTAATATTGAAAAGTGAAAAGTGAAAAAGTGAAAAGTGACGTGACATGTGGCCAAGTATACAAATCCCAAGCCGTTTCATGTTGACGTCAACATGAAACACTAGCAAAATAGCAGTTTCCCCAGTAACGGCTGTACACAAAGCAGCACTGCGCTCACAAACGCTGCTTTATCAGGCATTACAGGCATGATGAAATGAAAATGAGACCAATCGGACCAATCACCGCAGATTAGCGTCACGCAAAGGAGGGGTTTGGAAAAATGAATCGTTGAGCGAATCGTTTGGGAGTCCTTGAGCAAATAAGGTAAAAATAAATGCATATTATAAGACAATGAAAGTGTTTTTTGACCTTGCATGCATGTCAACCTGTTGTTGGGGACTCTCAAAACCAAAATATGATCCTTTCATAACCCATAATAGGGGCACTTTAAATTTCAAGCATACATTTTTCTTACTCCATTGGCAAATAGTTTTTCTTGCTTTAAGCATAAACAGGAGGTTTCCATGTGCTATAGAAGTCTAAACAGCACAGCATGAAGTATGGGTCACCTGATCCGTAGGGCAAGAAACAGCTGGGGTTGAACTCCAATTTCTTCATGAAGCGGATCTGACCATTATCCTTGAGACCAAAAAAATTTCTCTCCCCCAGCACAAAGATGGAGGACATCACTGAAGATGTGTTGGGAACACAGATATCTAAAGCCTCTTCTCCTAACACCAGTGTCCAGTCAGCCTGAGGACAAACATACACACAGTCATTTCCAAAGGCAAATATTCACACTGGAAACAGTAGCACTTTCAATCTTCAGGAAACGCACCGTCAGTCTCTTCCCTGAGCTCTTGCTCTGCTGATCAGAGTCTTGTCTGGTGTCTGCATCTGTGGCTACAGCCAGTGTCTCATACCTGCGTTTAAAGAGATGTTAATTGCACCAATTATCAAAAAAACAGAGACATTGGAGATTGCTCAATGCTTCAATATTCACTTCACCAGAACACTGATGCACTGAAGGTTTCTTCACAAGCAGTCATAGATTAGTTTTTCATGACCATTTCCCATGACTTTTACCTTGACCTTTTCAACAGAAAAGATCAATCATACAAAAGTGTCTAATTGTGACACAATCTGTTGAAATTATATTCAAATAATTGTTTTTGTAATTAATTATTTACTTTTAAACCATTATTATTACTTTTTTTTTAATTCAGACATGTCCAAGAAATAGGGTGACCATACGGGCCATTTTTACAGGACGCACCCTTGCCAGGATTTCTATATTGCCTAAAATATCCAGGTTTTGGCTGTTAGCACTGTGCAGATCGATCATTGTATGACATTATTTCACAATAGCTATAGAGAGAAGAGCAGACGGCTCCTTATGCTTTCAAATCGCTCTCGCAGTACTTTGGTGTCATACAATGATCGGTTCGCAGCTTCAAGTCGAACGAACGAACACATGCGCGTATTTGCATCGCTTTGATCATTCTCACCTTCTCACGTGCGATGCGCCATGATTGGTCGATTATGTACAATACCTGCATGTTATTGGTCAAACTACTTTGGATGTTTTAGGCAATATAAAAATCATGGCCAGGACGTGTCCCGTATAAATGGCACATATGGCCACCCTACCAAGGATTTGCTGAAGGGTTGTAAAGGTTGAAAAACCTTATATAAAACAAACGTAAAACAAAACCATTCATATAATATTTAGTTTGACCCCCTGAAGTGGATGATGGACCTCCTCGATGGAGTTTCTAGGTCAATTTAGTACCCTATTCTTGGAAAGTGTTTCGTTTCAAAAGAACAAGAAAATCCTGTTTTGAATTTGCAATATGACCCCAAATTTCTACTGAATTCCTCTAGGAATGTTGGGTGGGTTTGGGCAAACGTTTATAGCAATGAGACACAGCAGTGATTATTCAGCTTTGAGAGCATGTTCGGTACTGGCGTTTAGAGTGTGCATGTTGTGTGTGTGTGTGTGTGTGTGTGTGTGCGCACATGTCTGTAACAGATCAAACGCTGTATTCAGAAATCACTGACAGTCCTCCAAAACTATCAGCAGGTCATGAGGAGTATTATAGGAACCAAAGCCTCTGCTGTCTCACCTCAGCTCAGATCTCCATTTTCAACAGCTTTAGCCAGATTGTGAAGAAAGATCATATTTCCTTCTTAAAGGTTTGCCTAAAATGAAAACTCTATCATCATTTTACCCATATGTCGTTCCAAACCCATAAGACTTTCATTCATCTTCAACACACAACTGAAGATATTTTTAATGAAACCTGAGAGATTTCTGTACCTCCAATGAAAGTCCATGCACCCAAAACTTTGTTGTTCAAAAAGTTCAAAAGAACATTGTAAACATAATCCATATGTCTGAAGAGACACGATCACTTGATATAATGAACAGATTTAATTTAACAATTTTTCAAATATAACACTGCACAACGTGTGATATGTTGTCATGTGTCAAGCTCAAATTATTTTATTAAAAGTTATGTTATCAGTTTAATTCAGTCAAATTAATTATTAGTTTAATTAAGTATCTATAACCAAATACACTGCATACAACCTGTTGGGAGTTTCTGTTAAAGATGTTTTTTTGTTGAAAAATGACTTCTAAAGACTAATTTACATTATTTAAAACACATAACATTAAGATATTTCTTTAACATATCAATACTACAATTAATCATATTTAATCGTGAAGATTTGAGTATGTAAATAAGTAGGATGAACTTGAAACCGTCATCCAAAGCTATTTCCTGTTTTATTGTGCTATCTTACCTTCGCTCCCTTACGGATACCAAATGTGTCTGTAAATGAAACATGACCCATATCGTTTGCCACAAATGAGAACAGCAACACAGCAAAAATAAACAGTGTTGATCAATCAATGGAAATTTCATTCGGATGTAAAAACATTCCCTTATCATGTCTGTAAGGATATGCTGGAAATAGTGTTACACCTAACCTACCATTGCTTTAGGAAACATATTTCTAATATACTCCTGCACTTATTTTAAACATGCAGACCGAGTATGTGTTTGGCGATGTGTCTCGTAAAGTCATATTCTAAGATATGACCAAGGAATAATAAAAAAGTAAATGTATAGAATACCCACATATCCTGTACGTTCAATGAGAATGAGTCTATGTGTGAAAGGATATGGCCAGTGACTATATGGACAATTGGTCAGGGAGCGAATTGGACTCACCTGTAGCACTCCACCTGCCGGGTGGAAGAGACCGTGATGAAGGAGTCAGTGCGGATGCAGTAGCTCAGAGGGCCGGGCAACAGGAAGCCAGGCAGGAAGCGACCAAAAGCATATGTTTCCTGCTCAAAAAACATCAGCATCCCATCCATGGACTGGATACAGATGAAATGATGACCTGCACAACAGCACAGGAAATATTCCGTTGAGACAACAGAACAGAAGGACATATTCAATAGTATTATGCAGCTATAAAAACATGAACCCAGATTTTCACGCCAATGTTAAATAGTTGCATTTATTATTTTGAATCACTAAAGTCTAAACACTTTTTCCACCTCCTAACTAATATAGAGTAGGTTGCTCTGGTTCTGAATAATGTAGCAACTGAATTAATGCAGATTGTGCGCTAATTTTATTTGTCTGCATTCTGCAATGGCTTCGAAGCAGCTCATCAAATCAGAATTTAGAGTCAGATCTGTCCTTTTAATAATAAGAAATAAACATCTAAGAGAATAGCCACGGCCCAAGCTAACATAAAATCAGTGCTTATTTGTCTACTGTGCTTGTCAAATGTTTTCTGGGTTGTTCTGGGGCCAGCTGCATAAACTTAGCCTCTATATTAAGACAGTGCCTTAAGTACTAGCAGTTAGCCAATAAGAAATCCATCATTTTTGGATTTAACTTAGACTAATCTATGCTTTTATGTAACTGAAAGTGTTACATTTCTAAATATTGTGAGATGCTGCTTTTAAGGTTAAGCATCAGAACTTCAACTAGACAGTGACCAGGAATCAATAGAACAATAAATGTATTTTATCAGACCTCTCTGCTGTGATCATCACTGCATGTGCATTATGTTCAATGACTGAAGTTGAAAAATAAAATTGATGATGAATAACATGCATAAATGAAAGGAAAAAGTCCTGGTATGTCTACTCTAGAACTTAATGAATACCACGGCGTGTTACATTTCTAAATATTGTGAGATGCTGCTTTTAGGTTAAGCATCAGAACTTCAACTAGACAGTGACCAGGAATCAATAGAACAATAAATGTCTTTTATCAGACCTCTCTGCTGTGATCATCACTGCATGTGCATTATGTTCAATGACTGAAGTTGAAAAATAAAATTGATGATGAATAACATGCATAAATGAAAGGAAAAAGTCCTGGTATGTCTACTCTAGAACTTAATGAATACCACGGTATTTCAACTGCTCTTTCATGTGGCATATCCTTTAGAAACAAAACAAATTAGCAATGATAAAAAGAAATTAAAAAGCAAATAATCTAGGCTGATGCATACAGTATACTTATATATCTCAACATTCTAGAAGAACCATGGTATAAGCTACTATATCAGGTATTATTAGAATGGAACTTTGACACATACAGCCCCAAAGCTTCCTGTAGTGTTTCAAGAAGTTAGTTCTATCATATTAAAAGTATTTTGTAGTGAAACCTGGCAACAGTCATCTGGCTGTTGTCTAAAATATCCCATCATACACTGTGATAGTTCTGTGAAATCTGTCAACTCCGAGCAAATCAGGGCAGAAATCTGGGCAAAAGTTGTGTAGTGTATTCCAGACTTAAGCAACCCACGGAATAATCCACTTCCTTTAGATGTCTAAAAGCTTAATCACTTACAATATAACAGCAACTATACAGTACAACTAACACTGAAGATAATTCTGTTGTTAATTGTTTTATAATATTTGAGCAATGACTTTTTATGAACTTATCAATTATTTACAAATGATAAAAACTATTATTTTTCTTAAAGGAGCCATTATAAGATTCCATTAAAGGAATCAGAAGTGACAGTTTCTTTCTGTCTCACTGCATTTGTTGCTCATAACATCACAATCAGCAAACATAGTATAAAGAGAGAACATAACAGATTTATAATCATAATAAACGTAGTAGCTTTATAATTTGGTATATGTGTGTTTGGAATTAGGCACATAATAAAGACTATAGAAGACCTGTGCTGCACTTACAAAATAGGACTTGAAGCTGTATCAGTGAAATGAATAACTCTTAGAAAATTAATTTTCTGAATAAACACCTGATTTGTATGATTTCTTTTTTTCTAGAGATACATATCATAAATTAAATAAATACATGAACAAAAGCAAGAGGAGGGTAACAGAGAATTTAGAGGAAACAAATGTTGGTTTCTAGTGGTTGAAAAGTTTTTTGTTTGTTTGTTGTTGTTGTTGTTTTTCTTTTCCAAAGAATATGGGATTTGTGCCTTTATTGCTTAAAAAAAAATAATAGGGTACCAACTGTATCCTATTCATGGAAAGTGCCATACAAATGTGATTTGTGCTGATAATTGGTATATGTGGCAGATTGATAAATAAGCTGATTATGATTTTGTAGAGACGTGTTTGAGTTGGTAGTGATGATTGCTGCGATGTGAATGGCTGAAACACAGCACATGTGACACTTACGAGACAAACTTGCCCATGTCCACTTGAATGATGGGGTCAGGCAACTGAACCTCCAGCAGCTGGGCGTCAGCTTCCGTCGGCTCCTCTGGTTTAGCAGGGTGTGGTGAGAAGATGCGTAACATCCCCATAAAACTGCCCACTACAATCTTATCTGGTTTAGAGAATGAGACAGAGAGCGAATGTAAACAGTCTGGTTCAACATCACAGTATACTGAATGTTATGCCCTGCATCTAATTCTTGTCATTTGGACTTTCTTTACAGATAAGGAATAAAGCTGAACTTTATTGCCATTGGAGCATCCTTATGCAAACCGTATGTAGCTCCGCCCCTTTTTAGCACTGCGCTTGTATTTCCTCAGTGTGAAGGTAAGGTCGTACGAATTTATTAATGAACCACTCGTTTTAAAATCTTCCCGGTCTACTGACATTTGTTATGAAATCCACTTAGTGTGACTTTAGTGTGTTCACTGGATTGTACTGCTGTTTAACATGCCAAATGTTCAGTTAAAGGGGTCATATGACGTTGCTAAAAAAGAACATTATTTTGTATATTTGGTGTAATGAAATGTGTTTATGCGGTTTAAGGTTCAAAAAACATTATTTTCCACATCGATTTTTACAAAGCTCATCGGTCTGAAAAGCGAGGTGTACGCTGATTGGCC